GATGATCAATCAGTACAAGATATGTTAATTAGTTTACATTCGTATTGGAAATTATTAATAAAACGTTTTGTAGATTATACAGCATTATCTCTACGTGCAGGATGTGTCTTTGACATATGTACTGGTATACGTGACCGTTTAAGACAAGTTCCGATTCAACAATCAGATTTTGTCGATGGTTGTCTCTCTGAAGATACGTTTGTTCGAACGAAAAGAAAACAATTACAACAAACAAGAGACAGATTAGAAAAGGTGGATGTCATACTTGGTGGTAGCGGTGTTGCTATTAATGATGATGTTGCATTTGGAAATTCAATCAATATGGAAAATGTTCCAATAATGACTCTTGATAAACTTGAAGAAGATTTGACTCGTTATGATACGGAAGACCATGCTGGGGTTTCAACGTCTACATGAGATGAATGAGCAAAGGCAGATTCGGGAAGCATTAAACCGGCCCTTTCATCTTCTTCAATGGCGTCTAATGTCCCTTCTACCACAAGTCGTAAACGTTAATCAACAAAAGTTTTATTCAAATTATTCGAGATTGAAAATTTGAAGTTACATTGTTCCGAAACAAGAAATTTTGATTTTTAATTAATAAAATCCACGACTAGAAAAACAAGTTTGGATGTGATCAATAATAGAACAGATAATCTAAATATAAGCAAGTTTATTAAATAAAAATAGTAGTAAGATAAAAAAAAATAAGACTTTAGTTCCATTGAATATAAAATATATCGAATTTTCGAAAGATTGTATAATTCTTAAATAACTTCTTTGAATCAATCATTTCATATAATTTTTCAATGAGATCATTTGTTCCCTCTTTAACTTGAATACAAACTTTCATTGGATGAGACATTTTATTCATTTTGATTCTGTATAATATCCAATAAGTAACTCTTAAAAAATCACAATTTGAAATTATTTGTATTGAAAATGATTTCATTTGTGGAAAAAGACCAATAATGAAATCGACATCATCACTACCTTGTGCATTTGATATTGTTACATTTGTAATCTTACTGTTTTTTACACATCGACGAAGTTCAATCATATCTTTTTTAGCATCAAGAAATTCGTCTGGATGTGTTAAAAATGTCACGCGTAACATCATTAAATTTGGTAATAATTTAAGAATTTTAATAAATGTTCTCATAGAATCGATCGAACATTTAATTACTAATCGAGTTACATTAATAATTTTAAATAAACTCTTAAATCGATTAATATAAACTTGGTTTTTATTCAAATTAATTATATTTAAATTCACACCAGGACAAGAATTTCTGTTATAAGATAAATGTTCTTCAAAATCATAAAATTTTTGGCTAAAAAAGTACAAAAGAAATAATAAAAAATAAACTTGAAAAATCGATGCATACCTATGAGGAAAAATCGAAGAATCAATTTCATCATCATCAACTACAATTCGAAATATCCATTGTTTTTCCATCCAAAATGGTAAGAAATAATTCGAAATTGTTTTATGATAATCAGTTATCTGAAAACGTTCGTCCATCTTTTCCTGCAAACAAAGAGTAAATCTTTCTAAATTCGGCATATTCTTCCGAATTAATTCTTCCCATCGATTTGCATCTAAATAACTTATATCTCTATCAGATACAGTCACACTTAATATTTTTAATTGTAATGGTAATTTTGAAAATAATGCTTGACATAAATCACATGAAAGATCATAAGTACAGAAATTGAAAAGAACTAAATTGTTTAGTTTTGGAAAGATTTCGGTTGAATTTGTTAATTCAAAATCCAAAATATTAAAACAATATAAATGAGTTAATCGAGGTGTATAAGAAAGTAGATGAAAAAATTGATCAAGAGTTAAATAATGAAAGAAAATGAAGAATTCAATTGATGTATATTGTTCAATTGTTGCCATTGAAAGAGTTAAATCAGAGACTTCAAAATCATCGATTTCTACTCTAAGATATTTTAAGAAAGGTAATTGAAATATAAGTTGATAGATATCACCAATATCATCTTCACAAGAATCAAAGAAAATTTGTAATGAAGAAAGACGTGGTAAAGATCTCAGATAGTAAAGAAGGTCAACAAATTGAAATGTTGAAATATGTTTAAGAATAATCGATTCTAAATGATTAAATGTTGAGTTAATTGGAGATAATTGAATGAATTCTTCATAATACAGTTGATTATCACAATAAAATGAAATAATACGATGTTTATTAGGTAAAATATATCGTTCATAACGATCGTTGATTGTTAAATTTGATTGAAATTTGAATGAAAATTGAACTTTTAAATAGAAAGTTGAATGTGTTATGAGATCTTGAAAACGACAATTTAAGTTTGAAAATGAATAATAAATATCACAACCATCTAAATAATCAAATATTTCGTAGAAAATTTCATTTGATAAATTTTCAATATGATTAAGTATTTCTCTATAGAAACAAAGAATTTTTTGCAAATGAATTTAATAATTTAGATTTCTTACTTTTTCTCAGATAATACTCTAGACATAATTTGTTTTCTGAGTTTACTTTTTTCTTGACTGATTGGATACAATATGTAACGTATTAACATATATAGTTATCGTTCGTTTTGTTTTAATTCTTTCTTTTCCTTTCTATAGGTGGTGTTAGTATATATATTTCGCATATATATTTCTTTCGTTTTCTTTAGGGTGTGGGTGAGCGTATCTTATTTATCTTAACTACAGCCACATCCACGCTCTCAAGAAAATGTGTAATAAAGTAGTAATTAAATTGTTCACTTTAATTAATTTATACACTTTTCGATTGATAAATCCTTATTTCTCAAGATAAGTAAGTCCAGTCCTACAAGAAAATTCTAGAGTGCGCTCAAATCGATATCAGTAGTTGTCAGAATTTCCAAACATTTCGTGTTGTCGAAAAGGATAGTTGTGCTCAATTTCGTGGTAATTACAAGGATGTTATAATAAGACGTATTCTCATGGATATGACACTAGTCGAAAACCATAGTTGCTATAGAGAAAATTTAGTAATTACTATTCAATTTTCAAAGTTTCTCAATAGTTGCACAAAAATGACAATTACAGAGAAACTGCAACAGTAAGAAAGAAATTCAAGTAATTACTAGAGAAGATTATAAAAAGCGTTGCATTTTGGTTCACAACATACAACACATTTTTTTGCTATACATGTGAAACATGTTAAAAGCATAGTTCGAATCTACTCTTCTATATGTCTGTTACTTTTTTTGTAGTGTGAAATCGATAGATTTTAAGATACAGTTGTTTCCATGGATTGTCTCCGAGGAATTTGTAGTTAATATATGTAAATCTTTTATAATGCTATTAAGATCTCCGTTAACACACTGATCAACAATCTAATGAATTAGCCTCGTTATTATGATCTTTTTTTCTCTTCTGCACTTATCTTTGCATACAATCTCGTTGTCCATTTTATGTCTATACATATATTGACAAACATCGATCCACAGTACTATGTGTCATTTTATATCGTTTTATACCTCCAACGAAAACAAAATCAAATCCTCAAATGAATGTTGAGCATTTATTCTTCTTTAAGGATATATAAATCTTTGTTCAAATGCAGTGAAAACAAAAAGGATCAGTAAAATAAAGATCTTAGAAAATGTTAGTGATTTTTATTTATTAACAAAATAGATATTTATAATAGATTATTTTTGTTCTAATTTACTCGGCAAAATGACTACGAATCATTCAAACACACAACTTGAAGAATTTGAAATCAATTAAGTTTACAATTGTGATGATTTTTATAAATCCAATGCTGAAGTCAGCTATATCAATCTTGAAAAGGGTCTTCTTCTATTTGTGTATCTACATGAAAGTAGTAGTAGTATTCCGAAATCTAATGTACGCATATACAATAAGCTATGTGATGGTCAAATTTGTTATTACACAATTGTATCGAATGGATTTCATGATCCATATTACTGCTCTTATGATCATTTTGAAGCTTATCACCAACAAAATTTGTGTAAAGAATGGTATACATGAAATTGTACGCGACTGTTCTGCAAAAAACAGCATTTTTTTATTTCTACTAATGTTAAACGTTACATCAACAATGAGACAGATTTAAAAGTATGGAATTTAATTCGTTGCATTCGTCTATTCGCTCGTCATTTTACTCAGTCATTCAAACATTGTATCGTGAGATCATCGTAATTATGGTGCAGATTATCGATTGTGCATTTCAAGATATCGATAAGTTACGAATGTTTCTAGGTGGACGAATAGTCAATCAATTAAATAAGAAAACTCTACAAGGACTAGCCGAAGAAACGTCATATTATGTACCAATAGTATTTCTGACTCCAGAGAAGATTAAATTCACGAGTACGTGGTATACTCAGTCGTTACGTAAAGTTAGCATTAATTTTTGAGATTTATCACGAGAGTTTACACAGTACTTATATGATCAATTTCATAAATATGACTGTGAACGATTGCAAGATCATGGCAATTGATTGTATAAATAAATAAAATAGTGTAGAACTACATCTCAAAAAAGAGACAATACATGCTGATTATATTTTATTTATCTTTAGAAAAAATAAATAATCATAATTATCTTATAAATGATAACATCGCAGTTCAAATGTAATGAGTGAAGGTGTGCTACAGTATAGTCATCACATCTATCCATACTTACACCTGCATTCTTTTTTTCTGAAAAATGTAGAACAAAAAATCATAGTTAAACTTTTTATTTTGATGCACTTAACACGCACAATGTTTTTTATGTCATAAGAGTTTCATAATTAATAAAATTTCTCTTTGACGCTCAAAAGAAAAGAAAATAAATAGAGATAAAGATTTTTTATTCCAATTAATCTCGATTCATCTTAACTCTAAACAGGATATCCATATATTTTGAAGCATCTATTAATTCACGCACATCATTTTATATATATTTTCTTAAAGATTATTAATGATCTATCAAATACGCATATAACATTTCATTTGAAAAAATCAAATGTCTTCGGATATTGATAGAGCTCTTTATATATTCAGTATTAGTGATGATTTATATATAACTTTCGGTTTATTTGTAATAATAATAACTACAATCGGTAATTTATGCAATTGTTTTGTATTTTTTTATATTCCACCATTAAATAAACATCCAAATGCATTATTTTTGATCAGTACATCCATAGGAAGTTTATTATTTATAAATACCGGTTTATGGACAATTATTATTCGAATATTAACTGGAATTGATTACATGAATCGATCATTATTTTGGTGTAAAACAAATGCTTGGTTAACTTATTCAGGTGGTTGTTTTAGTTTTATGTGTAATTGTTTTGCAGGTTTTTGTCAATTTCTTATATTATTACCAAATACTGAATGGCTAAGATTAATAACACGTACGAGAGCAAAATTAATAATTATATCTATCGCTATTATTTATCTTTTAATATTTATTCCAATACCAATATATAATACGAATTTTCAACCATCATCAGCAACATATGTTTGTAAAAGTTCATTTCAAATTATAAATGTCTATAGTAATTATTGGATAATTATTGGCTATTATTTTATGCCAGCTTTATTAACATTATTGTTATTTACTTTAATATGGTATAATTTTCAACAATTTTTACGACGTCGTCATTGTATAGAAGGTGTTGTAACGCGTATGATACTTATACAAATGAGTAGTATATTAATTAGTGGAATTCCAGCAGGTATATTTGTTTGTTATATAATGGTTACACAATCCATGGTTAAGACACGTATAAGAGTAAGTTATGAATTTCTTATTTTAGTGATTCTTACATTATTTACTTTTTTAACAAATGGTACATCATTTTGGATTTATTTATTCTTTTCTAAAACATTTCGAAAACATTTGAAAGAATTTATTTTCAAATTCAAATTCTTTAATCATCGAATACAACCGATTTCTTTAGTTGACAATATCAATAAAAACATTTCAATGAATTAATTTATTTGTATATATTAAATTTTATATTGTAAATCTGTCATAAATAATTTAAATATATATATTCATCTTGAGGGTGGGTGTGGATAAAAGAAGACTAAAACACTCATACTTACCCTCAAGAAAGAAAAAAAAAGAATAAAAGTTTATCTTAATGATGTCATTTCTGTTACATTGTAAAAAATGATGATGAGCTTTATCAACGATTGTAAAAGGTAACTCAATGTATACATGTAATTTCACAATCGATTGTCAATTACTACATACATTGCAACGGTATGTATATATAAGAAAAGTATAATAACGATGCTCGCATACTTGTTTTTTTTTCTGTTAAAAGAAAAAGATTATCATTATTGATTTTAAACTTTCTACCATAAATAATTTTCAATGTCTACTATTATAGCAGAAGAAATAGTTGCTCCAATCAGTAAGAATGAAATGTATTTGGATTATGTGAAACAAGCTACAGTTGGAATTCTAATGGGTGGTTTACGAGTTGTAGCTACACAACAAAAACTTACACCAAATGAATCATTGGCTGTATTTTTTCATCCATCAAATACAGACTCATTGAATATAATGAATGATCTGTTACGAAAATATATTCAAACATGTTGTGATGAATTTTGTTGGATTTATGACGATGTTTATATTAAGACGACAATTCCTTTAAAAGAAGCTTTAGATTTAAATGGTGCTCATTATATTTTCAGTCATTTTAATAAAATATTTCAAAATACTCGTTCAAATCTTACTCCTGGTCCAAAACATCTCAATTGTTTGGCTATGTGCACAGCAATTAATTATATGCCATTACTTTTCTCAACAATTTCTACTCAATATAAAGAACATTGTCTAGTGGGAACAAGAAGTAGTCATGATGGAAATTGGAGTGAAGCTGAAAAAAATGTAGTCCGTGTGATATTACAAGAACTTGTTCAAAAATCAATCGATTGGTTAAATACAAATAAGCAAGAAGAATTAAAAAAAATACCATTTGTTTGTCAAGAAGATGATAGTTGTAATCAAAATTGGGATCTATTTAACTTTTCTCAAAATAAACGAGTAATTGCTGTTGCAAATATAAAAAAACTCTGGAGTGAACTTGAGCAATAACAAAAAAATCATCTTGAAAGTGGAACTATGAGGGCAAATGAACATCACAACTCGAATTCATGTAGTTTCATTTTTTTTTATTATTTATTATAAAAAAAATAATCATTATCTCTACAACAAATAAAACTTGTTGTCGACTATTTTTATTGAAGATTTATTAAGAAACGTTTTTGATGAAATCAAAAGATTTCTACTTTTCCATCCACATTGTATTCACTCCAAGAATACATAAAGATAATAAATGATAATTGCTTTGATTCGTTTACGATATCTATTCTTTATTTATTACCATACCCACACCAACACCCTCACCTACGCCTTCGACTATGATGTGGATAGAATGAAAAAAAAAATAATATTAAAATAAGAAGGGTGAGAGTGTGAGTAAATGTGGTCGTGAAGCACAGTTTTGTTCTGTTATGCTTACATGTAAAATTTATTATATTAAGATAAGAGTATAACAACCCTTTTAATGTTGAATATAATATTTGTTATCTTTTGTTAGTTACGTGAGTAATAGGCAAACAGAATGTAGTTTCGAACAACAATATGTTCTTTTTTTGCGTTAAAGTTTTATCTGCAACATAATATGCACACTAGTCAAGTTTACGTTGAGCTTGATACTGTAAATAAGAAACCAAACAAATGGTGGCACCACTGTTGGGTTAAAATTACCGGCATTTCCATCATTGTTTTAATAGTTTTTGCTGTTATCCTTGCTCTGGTGTTAAACTTCGTCGTTTTTGCACCGAAGAAATCAGAAACTAGTACCACCGCAGCAACATCATCATCAACATCATCATCATCACCACCACCACTAACAACAACACCATTAGTGATACCGACCACGACTCAGCAGACGAGTAAGCTTCAGAGTGACGTTTTCCGGTCTCTTTAAATGGTACTTTTAAATCAGATATAAGTGGTTGCTTTGCATCCAACAGTTTTCTATATCATCTAAACTAAAAGTTACATTAAAAGAGCAGTGATCTTGTCATAAGTAATTCAATCGTTATCTTAAGAAATAATCTCCGCATTCGCCATTTTTGATCATGATCAAAACTCACTTGGTTTTGTTGACAGCAATGCGGTGAAATCTATCTTTTCTCTTCGTTTCATATCACTACATATCTGTCACGCACAGCATTTTCGAGCACGAAAATATTTGGCAATTCTCCTTCTCTCCTGTTCATGTATAACTATAAATAGCTATATTTGCGTATTATTTACTAGTTAATCCGTCATCTTTGATTTATTCTTCTGCTTCCTGAATAAGTTAGAGTCCAGGTTTCGGACACGAGAGGATACGGTCTATATTCTTTGATTATGAGAAATCACCGCATTCCATGGTCTGGAATAGTGCTGTAAACGCCAACGTATATAGACACCGTTTCCAACTGCGAAAATTTCGTAAGAAACGAGGACCATATTTTCTTTGTCTAGGGAGTTCCATTAAGTGACTATCATCAATAGAAGCTGTCTATAATGAAAAGTGTATTATTTCTTATAAATATTGTAACGACACGTATAATATATAAACCTATTTCATATGTCATCCTCGCATACGATTCTTTATCAAAAATGTGAAACTTACTTTCGTACCGTATCAAGAACGATTTTTGACAACAAACGTGAGACTTTTTGCATTCCCCAAAAAGTTCAAAAATCTTGTATCAAAGTACGAAACGATATTCATTTTACAAAATCTAAAATTTTTCGCACATAGTTGCATCATTTTGAGAGTTCCACAAGAGACAGTCTTTTGATAATGAATACAATCAAATGTTTCTATTTAGAATGGTCTGTTACCGGTAATATGAATGATGCACGAGGTTATCACACAGCATCCGTATTACCAAATGGGAAAGTATTAGTTACTGGTGGATACGAGAATAATTCTAGTTATTTAAATAGTGCTGAATTGTATGATCCATCAACAGGTATCTGGACAACTACTGGTAACATGACTGATGCGCGAAATCTTCACACATCATCTGTATTACAAAATGGAAAAGTGTTAGTTACTGGTGGAGAAGGCAATAGTCTTAATTATTTAAATAGTGCTGAATTGTATGATCCATCAACAGGAACTTGGACAACTACTGGTAACATGACTAATGCACGAAGTTATCACACAGCATCTGTATTATCAAATGGAAAAGTATTAGTTACTGGTGGTCACATTGGTAATGATGTTTATTTAAATAGTCCTGAGGTGTATGATCCATCAACCGGTATTTGGACAACTATTAGTGACATGACTGATGCACGAGCTGGTCACACAGCATCTGTATTATCAAATGGAAAAGTATTGATTACTGGTGGAGTTGGTTATGTTTTCTTAAATAGTGCTGAGCTATATGATCCATCAACAGGTACGTGGACAACTACTGGTAGCATGATTAATGCACGACATCAACACACAGCATCTGTATTATCAAATGGGAAAGTTTTAGTTACTGGTGGATTCCATATTTATATGGGTTATTTGAATAGTACAGAATTATATCAATTCTTTCAAACAAATTAACTTTCAGTGAACTTATTATTTTCTTACAAGTAATCTAAATTATAAAAATACTTTAATTAGAACAACTTTCACTGTATGACCTCCGTGAATTGTTTCTTTCGATATTTTTGTTGAATTATCAGACGCTTTAATATTCTATTCGAAATAAAAAATATATCTTTTTTCTCTGATCTTGTAGATTATTTTTTTATGATTAACAAAACTTAAAGTTGTAAGCGTATGTAGCTAAGCAGTTTACATCTTCCAGAACTGTTCAGCAATTGATCAAACAAACAAAAGTAGGATTCAACGGCGATGGGGCTGAACATGAAGGAGTAGCTCCTGAAATGGTTAGAAAAATTATTTTACATACTCATAAATACTGTAATATGCTCGTTGATGATGATCATTAGTTGGGAGAATCGATCGATAATTTAAAGAATGTCGATAAATATGAAGAAGCAGATGAATATACGGAAGATGAAGATGAAGACGAAGATAGTGATATTATTATGGGTACATCAGCTATCATTGAATGAATTTTTATTAAATAAATGTATTTCAGATATCATTCGTGGACTTGGTAACTAGCAGTGTTATAATGCTCACTGTGGATATCATTTTCCATTGTAAATTAGTTGTTATATTTATCAAATAAATAAGTTTTTAATTTGAAAAAATTCATGTCCCACTTGATTTTTTGGTCTATCTTTATTATATTTTTTTATAAAGTTAATATGATGATTTATCAATTTTATTATGCCATTAGGTAGACTATGCATCCCCTTAGTAAACCCCCAAGTATAACCAAAAAATAACGAAAAACTATTGCAGGAGAAATAATCTAAAAAAAACTACCATAGGCCGGATTACGATGCAAACTACTGTAGTTTAAATATTTTCTTTGGACAAAAGAGAAAGATACAATTTTACGATCAGTATCAAAAAGGCAGAAAAAAAAGAAAAATGAATGTATTTGTTCGGCTTGTATAGTGATAGTCATGTTTTATATATATGTTATACTAAAATTAAGATAAAAAATCTTATTTGATGGTATTTGAAACTAAACTAATAGACGAATACATTGTATGATAATACATGAAAGGAACAGATAGACTAAGAGTATATGAAGTATATGATATATGAATGAAAGAACATGTCATTAAATGTTTGATAATATACAATCGACATACACATTCATTCAGTTTATATGCACTTCTGAATATCTGTCAAGAAGAAAAAAAATTATAAATAATGATAAGGAAATGAAGTGATACATATTTTACAACTTCCATTGATGAACTCTTTCAATATCAATATAAAACACAACATAATCTATCGAATAGATTGAAGAAATAGAATAAAATGCTCATTATTCATGATTTTTCAATGAGTTTAATGATAATCTTCCGTAACAAAGAAGAAATATAGAACAATTTAATTCACAGGATTAATAAAAAGAACATGCCATAAAACATCTGAAAAATCAATTTAATAATTGCCCACACCTTCAATTAATATTATGAGCGAAATTTTTATTTTTGAGTTGATAAAACAATACCGTCATTCGTATAAAAGTTAATGCAGAGAATAATAAATGTTATCTTTTTTATATCGAGAAATATTAGCATAGAATATGCAAATAAATACTTACATCTTACTCTTTGTATATATTTTGAATAAAAGGAAATTGTCTATATAAATGAATGCATTCTATCTCAATAATATAGATTCAAGAATATTACTCTTTCAGAAATTAACAATCGAATGTAATTCAAATGTAAAATATTAAATTTAAGTTTTACAATTATCTTTTTTTTATTTCGTATACATATGAATTGAATCTTTTAGACGAACTACCAATTTTACTTTTTTTCTTCAATCGTCGCACAACACGCACACATATGACATGCAGAATAAACACCTTTATCCTCAAGATGCATCATCTATTTATCTTTGTCTTAAGAAATATTGTCTATTTGTCTTTTTCTACATTTTATCTTTGTCTTATCATCATAGCATAATGAAAAAAAATAACATACGAACAAATTATATACTAACAGCAAGTGCATATTTCTATTTCTGTTGTTAATTGTTTACAATGATCGCTGATCCTGCTCTTGTATTTCCTGAGGACAATAGACCTACTCTTGTAATTCCTCAAGAGAATACTCCTATAGTTGTATTTCCTCAGGGATATACTCCTGCTCTTGTATTTCCTCAGGGGAGTACGCCTACTCATATACTTTATCCCACACGATTCTATGTTCTCGGTATATTTTCCTTTCTTGCTTTTAATCAATCTGCATTTTGGTTGACATTCTCCCCTGTCTCACCAAGTACTCAAATTTACTATAATATTCCATCATCCACCGTCGATCTTCTTCTTAATTGGGGACCTATTATATTTATCCCTTGTCTTCCACTGGTCTATCTTCTTCTCAATAAACGAAATGGACTTCGACGGGCTGTCATTGTTTTAGCTATCGGTGGCTTGGTATCTACTGCCCTACGTGTTATACCATCGATTGTTACATCTCCATCAAGTCCTCGTTTCAAAGATATTTCCCTTCCATTTCTTCATGCTGGTCAAATTATTAATGCTGCTTGTGGACCTATAGTAATGGCGCCTGTTTCTCAACTATCATGTCTCTGGTTTGGTCCCGGTGAAAGAACACGAGCTACTACATTAGCTATTATGACAAACATTTTTGGTTCAACTGTTAGCTTTCTCATCAATCCCGCAATCGTCTCTCGTCCTTCAAATCTGCCCTATCTACTTTATTTTCATCTTGCTTTGGCATTCGTAGGTACAGTTATTACACTAATCTACTTTCCTGCTCAGCCACCCACTCCTCCGTCAGTTGCAGCTGAATTACTCATGCAAGAAGGCAAGCAAAGTTCAAATTCCGCATTTACAGACTTCATGAAAGGTCTTCGAGCATGTATATCAAATTTATCATTTGTTTTACTTTCAACAGCTGGAGGCATCATGAATGGAACATTCGCAGTGTGGGCTGGATTATTTTCTTCAATTCTCTATCCTGAATATTCTGAAACACAAGCAGGTAAATCTAATATCTTTTTTTGATTTCATGTAAAGATATTATCCAATAATTTGTTTTTTCTTATAGGTTGGTTTGGTTTTTGTTCATCGCTTGCAGGCATTATTGGAGCTTTGTGTTTGGGTGCACTAGCCGATACTCCTCGATTTCGACGTAGACTTAAAATGCTTATTCTTATTTCTTTCATTGGCTGTTTTCTTTCGGTTCTTTGGTTGCAACTTTCTGTTCGTTCGATTTTTTATAACGCACCTATTCTTGGTTCTACACAAATCACTATTGGACTGTCACTTTTGCTTGCTGGTCTATTTCAAGGAGCAGTATCGCCGTTAATATACGAAGGTCTAGCTGAAATCATGTATCCGCTACCAGAATCTTTATCTGCTTCCATTCTTGTTCAATGGAATAATATTGCTTGTGTCTCCCTTCTTTTCATCGCTTCCAAACAATATATATTGATTAATTTACTTGTTCTTATCGTTATTGCAATATCTATTCTAATGATTATCTTCGCTCGAATAACATACCGACGACAAGATGAAGAAGAACAAAAGAAAAATAAAACAATTATTGGAATGGAAATGGACAGAAATGTTTCAACAATCGAATCCCATCCATAAATGAATTTATCTGTATTAGTTTATATAAACTAGGAAGATCATAAACAATACATATCACTTTTTTTACGTTTAGTGATATAAAATTTATTACAACTATACGTTCTTTAATTTTATATTTAGTCTGAAATAGCTGAGGATGTAGGTGTGAAAAGACACAACTCACTAAGCCCACACCCACACCCGTTTAAATTTGAGGAAGTGCCGTTATATTCGATGATACTAAATCTGGATCACTTCCCATAGTCCATGATAAATAAATTGCTTCATTTCCAATAAGTATTGGACGATGTGCATTTATTTGTGCATTTGGTGGAATATCAATATTTATTCTATCTAATAATTGATCATTTGAAGATGATGATACAAGCATATAAATTATATTTGTTTCATCTTGAGACACAATTTGAGTTTAACAACCGGTTGAATAGACTGAGCAGAACTTCCATATGGTTTATTCCATTATCAAATTACATGAACATAACTACTTGCTAGGAAAACAGCCACCAGAATCAAGTATATCTATCTGTATGCGTATGTTCAACACAATGTAAAAATATTGAACCCCTAATTCATAAATATTTATTTTCTGTTATTTATAAATCTCCTAATGATATTCTGTATTAATTAAAAATGTTCAGAGATCAATCGAATAAATTGGTAATATTATGACAAAACCTCTGATCAAGAATCTAATATATCTAGCATTCGGTTACGTTTTGACTTTTTTTTGTCAGATGAAATTTGTTATAGTCATCTACTCAAATATTTCATAGCTATGTAAATAGTGAAGTTTTATTTACAATCATAGTAATAGAAACTGTAAAATTTCTAATTATCTTAACTAAGTTCATTTAAAAGTAATTGTGCATGTTGAGATTTTAATGTAATATGAAGTTCAATTTCATCATTATTCAATGTTGGTAATATAAAAATCAAACCATCAAATATAATTAAAGGAATTCTAAATGCTTTCGCTTGACCTTGACCAAAATCACATTTATATAAAGGAAATTTTGACCAATTAGTAAACGATAAATCAATACCTCCCGATGGTTCCCATCCTAAATGAATTATTGATGATTGATGATGCTTATCGATAAAAGATAATGCTGATTGAATATACTCATATGTCATAAATTTTCGTTTTTCAATATTAACCCATTGAGCTAATTCATTAACAGTAAGATGATTTAAATTGAACATTAAAAATGAAAGACATACATAGAAACTACAATTACCAAAATAATTGTCATTAATATAAGGTAAAAATGTTTGTCCATTCATTGCCATCCCAACTTTAATTATTGTTTCAGAAGGTAGATTACGAATTTGACTAATTATTTTTGTTAACCATCCAGTAAGAATATCATTCGTAGAAAGATTTTTATTTGTTATTTCAAATTTATCAAATAAATATTCTTTTGTAAAACGTTTAACGATTGTATTTGTTGTTGAAATTAAATTTGATAAAGAATAACTAGGTTCATTAATACTCATTTCTGGATGATCGAATTTAATTGAAGATGAACATCTTAATTTCGATCGATCATGATCGAATAAAGGTGGATTCTTCTCTTTTAACCATAAAGAAAATCGTTGTCCTAATGAACTAAATCCATGACCATCAGAGAAATAATGATGACAACCAAATGCTAATATAGTTCCATCTTGGAAATCTATTTGATGAATAAAGATTAAAGGTGAAATATCTGTTGGTATTATACCATACGGAAATAAATCTTCAATAGAACAATCATTATTAAGATATCTCGATGAGCTTTCATTTATTCTTGATTCATATGAAAAGATTTTTCGTTCTTGTTCTACAATTCGTCCATCTAATAATTTATTTTCATCATAGATAATACATTGAAATGCTTGTGGACAATATAAATGAAGATATTCATTAAATAATTTTTCTAAATTATCAATATGATAATCATAAATAAGTAATGAACGAATATAAACATATGGCATAATAATATCACATAATGATAGACGATTTTTGTCTTCCGAATTTGACGACATATTTTAATGAAATTGAAATTATGTGTACATTTTTTTTTCTTTTATGTTTCATATGGATGAGTCATAATGTAATTGCCACATCATCGTCACCTTAGTCATACATTGGCACGAGAATCGTTTGCATTCGATTACTCACATATAATTGATTTCGATGAATCATAAAAAAATTTATTTGAATTTGATTTTTTACTTCTGAATTATGAATGTTTTAATTTCTTTTGTCTATAGCCATTCGAGAAAATAATTTAAACGTATCCTTTAATCAAACTGATGACTAAGTAAACTAGATGTTTTCAAAAGTTTTTTTTTCTCAATCATTCTGCATACATTTGAAATACCACACAAAGATAACTGATCAAAACATGTAGTTAACATAAATTCGACACTGGAAAACATATTTAAAATTATTATTTTGAATTATTATCAATTTTTAAATTAGTTTGTTGAAACAAATATTAGATACATGAATATACTCAATAATACTATTCTCTACGTACATGCAAAGTATCTATAGAAAGAGAGAGAGAGCAATGCGTGTATTTTTTCAAGGATAATTAGTAAAACAGATGTAAACATATTTTATGACAACACTAACTACCTGTCAATTCAAAAGAATAATACAAAGATGAGTAACCGCTAAAGAGAAAATTATCTGTTTTCGAATTAACCAATCAGGTAAATCATACCATACAAGTAACTGAGTATCGATTATTTAAAAATAGGATAAAACATATGGACAATATAAAAAAAAAAACCGAATATTAACAGTTCAATACAAAAAATATTTCGGTTTTGTGGTATATAAACACAAATATTTTTGTATATTTTTTATTCACATTTCTTCTATTGTTAATCGTCGAACAAACTTTCTTATATCGTATTTATAATCATGGTTGACGCTGCTTTTTATCGAGCTGATATCAATCGAAACAACTCATTAGATTTAAATGAATTTCGTAGTTTTGTTGAACAAAACAATGGTGGTAATGGTTTTACATCACATTCATCATCACACGAATCATCATCAACAGCAGGACCATTTGGTGGAGCCCATTACGAAGCTTCTTATCGAAGTGAAGCTGATTCTGGTTTAGCAGGTGGTGTTAATGGTAGTTATAACAGTACATCATCATACTCAGCTAGTAATACTGGATATGGTGTTGATTCTGGTTTAGCTGGTGGTGTAGGATATGGTGCTGCTGGTTTAGTTGGTGGTGGTGCAGGATATGGTGTATCATCAACAGAATCTGTAAATTCAGCTGCTGTTCAATCTTATGCAACAGATTCACGAGGATTATTTCAAGATAGTAATCCACAAATTATTCGTCGTCCAGCTCCCAATGGTCCATTAACTTATACACAAAATATTCGAGTACGATTTCTTCAACCACCACCAATTCCACCACCAGGCGTAAGTTGTTTTGTTTATTTATTAATCTTCTGTATTATTGTTATTTCTTTTTAGCCACTCATTATAAAAGAAGTGCGTCCACCTCAACCACCTCCACCACCACCTCTTCGTATTCGTCAACAAGCTCCTCCACGTCCTCAACCACCTCCACTTGTCTTACGTGAACGACCACCAGTACCACCACAAAGTGTTGCTTCACAAACAGGTAAATTGCATTTCAGTTTTTTTTCTTTCAATCTTATATTCGTTTTTAGTTATTCGTCGACTTGCTGCATTACCTGTTCCACCACGATCAACAATTATCGAACGTTTACCTGCTGCTCCAGCACGTCCTCGTGATATCATCATTGAACGTTGGGTACCTTATGGTGCAGCTGCAAAACGTCGTACTATTGTTCAACGTGCTGCAGCAGCTCAACAGTATGCACGACCACGCAATGTTATTATTCAATATGATAATGTACAAGCTCGTATTGTTCGTCAGTTCCAAAAATTAGGTGTACAACTTGAAAATCCTGTAGCATATGTACAACGATATGGTGCTCAACTTCTTGATTCAGTAACACTTGTTCAACAAGCACGAGCAGCTGGTGTTACTGAAGATATTGTATGTTATCTTTATGTTCTCTTTTTCTTATTTTCTTTTCTTATTTATAGTCACCACCTGTTGTTGCTGGTTCATTTGCTGCTACTGAAGGTCAATTTTCATCAACTGGTGGTGCTACAGGTGCTGGTGGTCTTACTGGACAAGGTTATGGTGGTATTGCTGGTGAAATGAATTTTGAAGCTACTGCTGGTGGTGTTGGATCACGTGCAAATATTGCTCATTCAGCGTATGAAGCTCATGGTGGTGGTGTAGTTGGAATTGATTCACCTGCAGCTTTTAGCAGTCATGTTGGTGGCGCCGGTGAAGGACCAACTGGTTTTGGAGCTGCTCCTGTACTTTCATCAGCTTTTAGTGGTTTTGGAGAATCTGTATCAACCTATGGTGCTGGTTCCAATGTCGGACCAGGTTCAGGTTTTGCCCCATCAACTCTTTTCAATGCTGCTGATTCTAATCATGATGGTGTTCTCTCACAGAGAGAATTCAATGCTGCTGGTTATTAAACTAGTAAGAAACGATTTATTTTTTATTTATTTTTCTAAAATATTCTGTATTTTTAGAACCATCAATAAATTAGACGTAGCAATTTAAAACTGAAGTATTTTATGGATTTTTTAAAAATACAATGAATATTGTATTTTTCGTTATTATTAGTTATTTTTAATTTTACTTCTAAATAAATATATTGTTTTATTCGATCTGATACTATAGTAATACTTGAAATTCATCAAACAGAATACCGATTTTATGATAAAATCGTAATTTTGAATTTTGCTCATACAAATACCTCGATCAGATTATTCTGTCGACAAAGTTTCAGAATTGATTTTATAAACGTCTGTTTATATAGATAACATATTTTTATTCGAATTTTAAAGATTTGACCATAAGATTCATCAAAGGAAAATCAAAAAATTAAAGTTAGATAGGTTTTTCCATTGCTCATTCAGATCGATTAAGCTATGATAGATTCATGCGAAAAGCGATCAAGTTGATTATCGATGGAGTGAACGAATATCAATTATGAGTTTCGTTCTAAACAGCTGGAAATGAATTGTGTATTCTCGCTCATATGAATTCAGCAAAATCTAACGATCTTTTTAAAATGAAATGAAAGATTTTCTATGTAACTAAGTGTTGATTTTTTTTCGTTAGACCAAATGAAGAGTGTATGCATAAATGATGATTACAAGGAAGGAGAGAAAACGTGCGCTAACCGATATTTGTTTTTGAATCCTTAATGCGACGAACCGAACAATAGCGTGGCCTATCGCTTTGTTATCGGGTTGATTACCGTTTGTCTTATTAGGGTAAAGAACGACGAGGGACGCATGGATGATCACTGCAGTAAAGTAGATACACAATAGTGTGTTTCTCTATGTTTTTTTTATTTATTCGTATTCGTTCTTTATTGGCTTTAATTATCATTGGATAATATTTAACTGTAAGTAATACTATACTATTTGATTGTGGTTTAAAGAATATAAATGATATCTTTAAATATTAGAGCTTCTTCTACAGATAAAAAGTACGTTTCTGAATATTTTTTCGTCACTCTTACGCCTATATAAAAATATTTCATATTTTTGAATATTCTGTTTTCAAATATCTTATCATAGATATGATAATATTGTTCATAAATGTATCATGTAGTGCAAAGAAGAACAGATATAGATACTGGAAACTAGGAGATGCTCCGAAATAACATTCAGTTTATTTGCTTTTCATACCAGATATTCGAGTTACTTTTTAAGATACTAATATCACGTGTGGGTGTGGGTAGAACTATTCTCTCGTTCCACACCCACACGTTACAATTTTTTGTATTCACTGATATTGATACAAGATTATTTTAGATTATTCTCTTTTAAAATTTTCAACGGAGGGCTTGGTATTCGCTACATTTAACTATATGGCAAACCAAAAAGGTAAATATTAATTCTTGTTTTTCTTTTTTTTCAATGAGCTGTAGAATATGATAGTTTATTTTCTCGACCAGAGTGTGGGTGAGTTTGGCATCTATTATTTTAATTCACATTCTCAAGAATTATCATATATTTTTGATTTTTATAATATATTAAAACATTCTTTAGATGATGTCAATGATTTAAACTTAAATGTTATGAGTAAAGGTAATGAAACTATATTTTTTTATACAAAATAAAACAATAAAAAATATTATTTTCCATTTTCAAAGAAACAACAAGTTTAGGTAAGTTGATATTTTTATATTTAAATTTCTTTTATAGATTGATTGTGTGCATTTTCAATCTTAGAAATATTAAACCATAAAAACGAAGAAATAAATGATGATAATGATAAATATGCAGTTGAAGAGGTAGAATCCGATTCCAATACAAAAGATTTGTCAAATATCGAACAATTAATATGTGCACCCGATTCTGAAAATATCAATCAACGAATACATGCAGAAGAAGTTTCAACAGATCAGTATGATGCTTTATTACATCCACCCGATGGATCTACTAATCTCATTGATGAGACAAATGGCACTCATACAGACAGTGTTGATCAATATCAGTAAGCAAACTGAAGAAATATATTATGTATTTATAGAAATCAGGCGAGGTTTTTGAATTAAGGCATGAAGAAAACGATCATCATATCTCTAATGATGTATAGATTATATTTAAAAAAACTCGACTTTTTATTTTTAAACATAATTGAATAATAATTCTATATATATTTTTTTATTAGATGTATTAAAACACGACTACCTGAAGATTGTCATTTCCCTGATAGTGTATTCAAGTAAGTATAATTTTACTAGATAATAAATAAGCAATCAGTTTATTATTATTCTTAATTAATTTTGATCTTTCTTGAAGATTGATTCGTGGTCAAAATCAACAAGAAGTGATCAATATTCTTTTAAAAGTTGAAGAGGAAAAAGAGAAGATTTGGTCAGGTATAGATAAAAAATATACAAATATACCGATAACAAAACGAATATCGTCAAAAATGTATAGAGAGTTCAAGAAAGCATATAATTGGTATTGTATGTACTATAGAACTTTATAAAATTCTTTGACTCATTTAATCTATCTTTTTTTGTAGTATCTAAAGAATATTCGACACAAGCAAAATCGGTGCATGATGCACAAACAATATTAGGAAATTTATCATCTGGTATTCTTATTCTTAACAAGAACAATCAGGTAAAGAAATAATTATTGAATGTGTCAGTAATTTTTATTACCCAAGTAAAACTTTGATTTATCGATAGTGGAATAGTTTCTATATTGTACTGTATTAAATATATATTCAGATATTGGGAGTACAAAATCATTATGGAACTTGGAGTGCTCCGAAAGGTCATCCAAAAATCAAGGATGATGGTACATTAGAAATTCCATTGGAAACAATATTGCGGGAGTTATTTGAAGAGCTTTTCATTGAATTTGAAGAAGATAAAACTCAAATAACAATTAACAAAAATAATATTGATCAGCATCTTGATTTAAACAAAGATAACTTTGTCGGATGTGGTTTTAATAGTAGAACAGACATTGATGATGGAATACGACATATTGGTCTTTTAGCTGTTCGTGCCGATGAAAAGAAATGGAAGTTTAGTTTAAAGGATAACAAAGAAAATAAGGTAATTATAAATACTTTTTTTCACTTTTAAACTATTAAAAGCATTATTATTGTTCTGCTTTAGGATTGGGCATGGTTAAATATCGATGATATTATTCGTCATCGGCCTGGAAACAGACACGACAAATACCATACGCTACGTCCGTTCGCTCAGTAAGTTGAACGTTTATTTTCAAAGAACGAAAACAAAAGAGATTATATATATCTTTTATTTAGATATTTAAAAAACAATCCAATGTTTTAACACAAGAAATCTTTTTTTTAAAGGAAAATAATAATTCATCACAACGAAATATTTCTAATTTTCCTTCAATATTTAATATTCGATAAATAAAATTTATATAATATCAAAAAATCATTCTTCACATATAATTTTTCTGATTCATTTTATTAATCTTTATGGAATTGATGTTTTTTTCTGTTCCTTTCTACCGGTTTAGGTCTCTTACACCTTTGTTTTGTCTTTCATGTCGAATCGTTTATCATATTTTCTATTCTGTGTTTTTTTTTCTTTCTCTTTCATATTCTCATGTAGCGTTAGGATCGAATGATCGTAGTTTTTTTTACAAATAAAAAAAAAAAACTTCACATATGAAGTCAAAAGATAATGTTGAGAGTGTGGGTGTGAGCGCGCGTGGATGTGGGTGGTGTTTGTGTGGATGTATGTGTTAATTACAAAAAAATATAATATTCACAATCACACCCGCCCACATCGACTCACACCCTTTCATAAAAGATCATACTTATTTTATTTTATTTGCGCTTAAATTTTCTGTGCTTAACTAATTAAACTTTAATCAAATAGATAAAAATAAAAATGCCAAAATTAACATTGATAGTAGAATTAAATAATATTTGTTTTTCTAATTTGCAAGGACTCTATTTGAAACTCATGTTTAATAAGTATAGTATATTTGTGCTCATTATTATAGTCAATTTTATGCAGATAATATTATGAATTTGTGTAGATTCATGCTCGTTGTTTCATTAACTTTGGATACTGAACCTTGCGATAGTAATTATAATCGACGGATCGGTTTTGCATCATTTTCTGTCGGTCATTGTTCTTTGTATCACTAATGCCGGCTATTCATTTTCAGCCCACACATGGCCTAGTCGTTTTTCGAATGCGTCAGGTTATTTTTGCATTTGACCGATAGAATAAAAATTGAGCCAATACAATCAATGATGACGAGTCTATAATAAACTACATTGTTTTAACAGGCTATAAAAGAAAATAAGATATATTTCATTTCATTTATTTGACGACGATTAGTATCATTATGGATCTACACTACTATGTTATTCAACCACTTATCTCATCGATTAAGACGGGCAATATTTGTCATGATTGTTTACTTATTATTCTTGCTCTTTTTTGTTTAACATTCATCAGCAAGGTTTCTGCCTATGCAATGGAGATATTACAACATCGTATGAGAGCTGTGTCTTTGCGTCCACTTACAGCTAGTTACACGATTGATGTTGTTGTTAACACTTTGGAATCGGAATATACAACATTTCGTATGCAGGTACATAACAGAAGCTTTGAATTCGAAACAACATATACCATTTGTCTGATCTGTTAACAGAGAACTAATGAGCTCAGTCAAACGACAGATATATATTCTCAATTTCTTTTTTGTCATATTTTACTGTAGGTACCGGAAGAATATCTGGGTATTGTTCATCACATTCACACATCTGACATTAATATTCGTTCGGCCAGACAAATTCCTTCACAAAGTGTAAAATCGACTGCTCATCTTGATGAACTCGTTAATTATTTCATTACAACAAAAACAGATCTTATCATTTCACCTGATATTCATCTTTTTGTCAAACAGATGCAAGAATCATCATCATCATCAGTTGGTAATTCAAGTTCAAATAAATCATCCGAAAACTATCATTACCAAATTACACTCTTCTCACGTGAACTGACCTTCAAACAACTCAAAGCTGCTATATCCGACTGGACAATGGCCTATCGAAACTATATGAAATACAAAAACAAAGGTAAAATGACATTTATCGAAATATTTTCTGATTAG